TGAATGCACCCAAAAAAGTGAGTGCACCGAAGACGCCACCACATATATATATATATGGTGTGATGAACAATAACGCACATGAATTTGCACAAAAAATATTAAAGATTTATGTTAATTTGAAGGATTTATAGTTTAGAGATTTAGGGTTAGGTTAGGGTTTATGATTTAGGGTTTAGGGATAGAAATCAAAATTGGAGGTCTAGGGCTTAGGGTAATCGGCTAATTAGTTGTTATCATATGTTGTATCATCATATTACACTAATTCTACAAATTAAAATTCAAAATCCGACAACTTAAGACTAGTTTTTGAGTTGGGTGCATTGAACGCACTCATTTTTGTGAGTGCACCGAAGTAGTCACATATACATATATATATATATATATATATATATATATATATATATATATATGGTGGCTTCTATGGTACCCCGGGTGAAATCCGGGGTACCGCATACCTCGAGTATGGAAACTCTATCTAGACCTTGAATTACCAGGATTTTTGTGTCTGATATTATACCCTAACCCTTAATGAGTGACCCTTAGGTCATAATTATCTAAATCATAATCTATAAACCCTAAGATGGTGCATTCCTTTTTGTGCCTATATTTGGATGAATAATAACCGTCGATTATTGTTTCTAATTAAATTGATCTTAGAGTATAAGATTGGGAGAGTTAACACCTAGATTTTGATCTTTAAGTGTTAGAGTATAGTATCATGTCCGAAAGATCGGTCAATTCAAGGTCTAGATAGTGTTTTCATACTCAAGGTATGCGGTACCCCGAATTTCACCCAGGGTACCGTAGAACTCGCCATATATATATATATATAATATGATGTTTAGATTGCACATAATTATATGCACTTTTTGTATAAAAATCTTGCATATAATTTAAATCTAAAATTGTTGTCGAAAAAAAAATTCGTTGGCCCCTTCTACCATAAAATCCTGCCTACGTTCCCGATATGTTATGAATGGGAAATGGGTGGTTGGATGATTTATAGGCTAAAATCCGCTCACCCGTGATTTTGGTAGACGGTGAAAATGTTATCACACAACAAGAGTGAAAGTAGGAAGAGTATTTTCGTCTACACAATCACTTTTTTATTTCATATAAAAATATATCAATGCTAGGATTTGAACCATGGTCTCTTCCATCAAAGACAAGAATTGTAACCAATTAGACTAGCACATTTGTTGTACTTTGTTAATACAAAACATAGAGGAAGTTAAAATTATGAAAAACAAAGTACTTTTCTATCACGGTTAGTTAGCCCGCTAAGTCTCCTGTAAGTATTTTGTGGTGTTTGATAGTTCTATTTTCATATTTTAATACTTAATTTAGAATTTTTTCTAACTTATAAATGAAGGATAATCTTGAAATCTCAACACATATATCATTGGTTGGAATATTGCGCATTGAATTGAAGTGTTCAATGACGACATAAGAACATTGGTACCATACATTTCAAGAAAAATAAACATGACAAACACCGAGACAAATTATCTCGACAGTCTATGCTAAAATTCGAATTTGTTTAATCATTCAATTTGAGTGATAGTTTAGTCAAAGCAAGCAAATAATTCACGATTGTGTATGCACAAAAATAAAAACAATCTAAAAAAAACAATCAAGACTTCCATATACAACCCCTTATTTCAACATTGTAATTAATGAAACAATTTTTATCAACATGATGCAATGTTCAAGCTAAGATCCAATTATTAATCGCCAGTATATAATATTCAGCTTAGTAAACTATTTCAATATCCACAGCTAACTATTAATGATTACTTGCTTTCTGTTTGACGGTTTAATGTAACACTATCATGCCTACATTCTAAGCATTTTTTTTTCTTTTTCTAATATTTTTTGCAGTTATTTGTTAAATCAACTATGTTTCTAGCTTTCCATTCCTAATTATTCACTGCTTCCTACCAACTTATGGGACTGATGAATATTTTTTTCATGTATAATCTATTGACTATGAATGTTGCTTATTACTTAAATTCAACGGTATCCATGTTAGGTTTGATGTCTCCAACATATTCTCACAATTTCTCGAAAAAGCATCATATCTTGCGATTGATATCATAGTTTTGTTAGGTAAAGTTCAACAAACTCAATCAATATTCGAACTCTTTGAAGTAGTTGTCTACATGTGAACATGAAGTACTGAGTAGCTAAAACTCTACTTGAGTTAGTACGATCTTTTGCACTATTAATTAAAATTCAATACATGATTATCTTAATACAATTTAGTCATACTAATTGTGCAGTAGGGGACATCTTATCAAAATCGTATCGAAAGACTCCTTGATTGATCAGTTTCAGGATGTAATCAATTATACAAATAGAAGTGATAAAATTTATAAGATGCTCTCAAAGTTTGCTATAATTATTGAGGTTCAACAACACGTTAATCGTAAGGTGGTCATTGGGCATTTGTCTATCTCCTAACTCGTCTAGACATGCTTAGACGTTGTAATAAAAATAGTAATTTTTAATAATGATGAATGAAGTAACCGTTCTGAAGCACTTTCATACTTCATTTCAAAATGATTTAACAACAAGCAAAATAACTCTCAAGTTTATAATCTTTATATACCAAATGGTATAATTAATTCATTTATGAGCTGAAATAGCTAATTATAAGCACTTAAATTTTTACGTTAAAACTCATATGATACAATTATTTAACGAAATGGTTTTTATCATTGAGTGGTTCTATCGAGAGAGGTCTTTTAGAAACATGGCTTACTTTATTATTCCTTAGGTGGATATAATATATATCTTCATCGTTACTTTTACATTGGATTCAATTTAGTATACTTTTTCGTTTAGATAGATTTTTGTAATGATTTTTTGGGATATAATATATCATTATTGTATGATGGTGTAGGATATTAGTTCCTCTCATTTTAGGTTCAAATTGATGCATTTTCCCCTTTATCGTTCCCTTTTAACAATTAATAATTTTTATGATATTTTTCACTATGAAATATCGTGAGCAGAATCTATACACAACAATTTGTGTTTTTTCGCTTCCTCTTCTCTTGGTTAGATATTGTGTCCATATTGATTCTTATATTTATTATTAAATTACTACTTTTTTGTTCTGAAGTTTATGAAACTAAGATGCATTTTTTTGAGAAACATGAAACTAAGATGCATATTGATAAAGAATGTAAGGTGTCATCTTCCCTCTTAAGGCTTAAGCACTACATATCATTGTTTACCTATTGTTAAATCCAAGTCTTTCTAACTTGAGTACGAACTACAATGACTTTTATTGTTGTCGATTTTTCCCAAAATATTAGGTATGTTGCTTTTAGTTTTCGCATTCTTTTTCAGTTTGATTTAGCTTTTTATGTGTTGCTCTATTAGTTGAACTTGCCAGTGGGAGATCTGCATGCTTCGACTACATTAATGTCACACTGACTTCTATATGAAATGCCACTCGAAACATGAGTGTGTGATTTAGTTTGTTTCTTATTAAAGACATTCTAAACATATACTTTGTTCCATTATATCATTGAATACGCTAAAGTCAATGGAAAAGTCGAAACATTTTATCGTATACTGAAGATTGAGTATGCATGTATGATGTAAAACAACTCTTACCATTGTTCTTCTTAGACGTTTTTATATCAATACGACTTCGTTTGAAAATATGTATTTATGTTAGTGTAGTTGGACGTTGTTCGTCATTTTTAAAACTTCGTTAGTCAAATACATCAAATACTTTCCGATATTATTAATGAAAAACTTACCAAACTAAATAGTTACTTCAAACCCCAACAACAATAACCATGACAAAAATATATACAGACACTTATACATGACAACATGAGAATCAAAGTCTCCCGACCAAAAGGTCGGGCCATAATCTAGTACTATTATAGGCGGGGTAGATGATAGCGGATGGTAAGTGGACTTGGAGGTTTTTAAAGTGAAAAAATAATTATGCTCATAAAGCTAACTATAAGCTAATTGAATATTAAAACTATGAAATTCAAGAAAAGGGATAACCATTAAACATAGTTTATTACTTTCTTTTTTAACAAAGTTTATTTCTTAATCTCATATTACACAAAATATTTTCAATATGATTATTATTATTATTTTAAATAAGATGCATGATTTGTATTGTGCGTCTAGTACAATTTATAAAAAAATAATTATCATTGACTAAATCAATCATAATTAACCTTTTGAGATATAAAGCAAGTGTATTATTGTAGAACGTAGATTAGTAACACACTGTATCGGGTGGTTTTGCAGCAATGTCCCACCACCCTCACCCAAATTTTATAGTTCACAAAAAAGACGACCTATACCCACCAACCATAAACACCCAAATACGTATGGATTATATTTGGGTGGATTCCCATTGATGATAGAGTATGTTTAACCCCTCACCAATTCAAATTATATGAGCATTTTTAATCCACCCATACCCATTCAAATTTCTGACTCGTCCACAATTCAAAGTTGACCACTTATTGCTCATCCCTAGTCCCTACTGTATGCAGCCTCAACTGGCTTATTGGATACCCATCCCTTGGACTTCCTGGTTTTGTTTGGCCTAAATGTCCTCCCAAACATTACTAAAATGTCTTAGTAGCAAGGACAACCTACATACGTTCCCTATGTTTGGCCCGGCTTTTAGAAGTATTTTTCCGGTTCAAAAGCTGAAGCGGGGTCAAACACCTGTAAAAGCTCGACTTTTGAAAAACTGAAAAGCGCTTTTGTATAACATAAAAGCATTTGAAGCTTCTGCGAAAACCTGTTTTGAAAATACAAGATTATCCTTATCATATTTTAATTTTATTTCAGAAAATATAATTTTCCTTCATTTATATTATTTTAAAAATAAAAGAATTTATAAAATCATATTATTTAATATAAAAGAAATCTAACAAGATCCATTTTGACTACTTTTTATTGTTTAGAATTTTTATTCATATTTTATATTATAAGTCCTTTATAGTCATTTTACGCAACCTCTTATATTAAAAAACACTTCTAATAGTTTTACAGTCAAACACTCAACTGTTTATTTTTAAGTACTTATTTAAAAGCTCCAGCCAAGAACTGCTTCTGCAAAAGCTACAACAGGGCCAAACTAAGCTGTTACATTAATGAAACATGACAGAAATGAATACTCCAGTAGCATATGACGAAAATATAAAGTCTCGACATTCTCAAATGAGGCTTTAATCCACAGCAAAAGTTCGCTCGCAACACAAAAAGATGGAGGAAGAGAGGCTACAGCTAAACGTCTATCCTAAACTTCGAAGCCCCTTAGGCAGCGGATTGGGCTGCAGCAGTCCTCTTCCTGGCTTCCTCGATGATTGACAGCTTGATTCCTTTACCCTTGGGAAGGGACACCCAGGGCTTGGTTCCCTTACCGATCGTAAACACATTCCCCAAGCGAGTAGCGAACTCATGTCCCATGGAGTCCTGTATATGGACGGTTTCAAAACTACCTTTATGTTTTTCACGGTTCTTGATGACGCCCACACGCCCTCTATTCCTTCCACCAGTGACCATCACAACATTACCAACATCGAATTTGATGAAATCCGCAATCTTGCTGCTCTCCAGATCAAGCTTGATGGTGTCATTAGGCTTGATGAGTGGATCCGGGTAGCGGATCGTTCGCCCGTCAAAAGTGTTCAGATACGGGATTCCTTTCTGGCCGAATTGAATAGTTCTCACCTTGCAAAGCTTAAACTGCACAGCATTAAAACAAAGAGCACAAATATCAGTGGCAATTTCAACACATTGTAATCAAGAAACAAAAATGCAGCTATAGTGCAGGAATAATTAACCTTCGACTCTTCATCCCGGATGGAGTGCAGACGAAAGCGACCCTTTGTGTCATAAAGCAATCGGAAATTCTCATTGGTCTTTGGGATCGAAACAACATCTGGTTTAGTTAAAGGAAAGTCGAGGACTCAATGTCAGTTAAAAAGGTACCGGTGACATCATCCAAATCAAGTAGAACACAGAAAGAAGAACATATAACAGGAGAAGAGGGACACAAAGGAAATATATAGCTTTGCAAGGCTCACTATTTTATACCAATCAAAAGGGTTCAACTTGCCTGAACTTTCAATACCAATTGATAAATCACATGTATCTACTATTAGAACACCAATTAAAAGTACCAGTTATCCACTACTTCGGCCAGTGCTAAGAGCCGAGCACAGGAAAACAGAAGGTTTTGACTCTCAACTCCCTACAGAAGGAAAAGAACCTAAAACCATCAATAAGCATTTTGTGACACTGCACCAGGCTCCCTAATCGAGTCGGATTCCTGACTGCAAGTGATTCCTTACAAGTGACTTCAATCTGATTCATGACACCAGAATTTCTTCACCAACGTTTCCATCAGTACCAATTTAAGTATATTTGAAAGAAAACAGTTGTCTTTAAAAGCATCTAGACTTCCATTTGCTGACAAAATAGCTATTACCAATTATAGAAGACCACACTGAACAGCAACTGAACCTACAGTTACCATAATATAACTGATGGAAATTGTAGGTTGAGTCAGCTCTCTCCCCAATTTCATGATACAGAAGAATTTCTTCGCAAGTATTCGTATCACTACCAATTCTAGTCCCATTTTAAAAGAACGAATTCTTTACTTCTCTTTACAATCATTACCCGTTCCATTAACAATCAAACAATGCCCTTTCGATCAGCAAAATAACAAACGCCGGATTCAACCTCTCTATAGAAGAAACGTTTCAATTGAGACATAAACTAAGACATACCCATGAAACCAGCAGGGAATTTCTTATCAGTCCTGACTTTGTGATCCACCATTACATGTCGCTGCATCAGAATAGCGATCACCTCACGGTAAGTAAGTGCATACTTCAGACGATTTCGGAGAATCAGAACCAGCGGCAGGCACTCCCTCGACTTGTGAGGTCCAGACGACGGCTTCGGAGCCTAATCAATGGAGGAAAACCAATAAAAAAAAAATCATCAAATCGTTAAAACAGGTTTATAACAAAAAAGAAACGAAGAAGAGAGAGAGAGCCATACGAAAGCGCCGCCAAGCTTGTCGAGCATCCAATGCTTCGGGGCATTGAGCCTCTTCAAATGCTTCTTCAGTCCTCGAGCCTGTTACGTTTTCGCCAAAAAAACAACATTGGCTTAAATAATAGCGGAATCGAAGGAAGAAAATGAATCATAGAACAAAACGAGGAAAATGTAGCTCACCATATTGGAAGTTAAACAAGACGACGGCTGCTGGCGGTGGCGGAGGATTAGTGTTGGGGGTTTGCTTTCTGATTCTTGGCTCCAGCTGCAGTCGAAACTGGTGGAAGAAGAGAATCAGAATTCAGAACCCTAATGCTCTGTTCGGGGGTTTTATATTAAGTTGTTTATTTAGGCCACAAAATTCCCAAACATGCTGGGCCAAGCCCACCGTGCTTCACCGGAATGCAACAGTCCCAACATCCTGGGCCAAGCACATCCTGTTCTACCAGTCCCAACATATTCGGTATCTTAATCGGTGCTCTCATATAGGAATCGCAATCGGGTATCTCGATACCCATATCCGTCCCGTGGCAGATCAGGTACTTGTCGGATAATTTATTATGGGACGCGGGTCGAGGCAGGTCAACCAATGAGTATGTAATTTATGAGAAAAACTTTAAAAATATTCATTATTTTCATTAAAATACTAAGAAATAAACCATAACATGATAAAATGTAGTTAAAGTATTGGAGAAATTGAGATTTTCACTTATTTACAACTTTATTATAGCTAAAATATGAGGTAATATGAGGAAAATTCTAAGTAATTTGACTAAGATAACATGTAGTTTAGGGAAGAACGGGTCGAGAATGGGGTGGGTCAAGGCAGGTTGGGTCGACGAGAGGTACCCATGACCTCCCCGCCCCTCCTACGGGGCGGGTCGGACCCTCCCAAAACAGGCCAAACAGGTCGGATAAAATAGGTCAGGTCGAAATTGCCATCCCTACTCTCATATCCCGACTCTTGAAAATTTTATACAGTGTAGATTTACAGTTTTAACTTCGTGATTGAAAATTTTGATAATTAGAATTGGATGTGAGAAATTTATAATTAAAACTAATCAAAGTCTTCATTGATTAGATTCAATCAAGTCTCATTAAGCATAGTCATTATAGGTTCCCACTGAGCATTTGGAGAAAGAGATTAGAAAAAGGGTCTTGAGTTTGTCATGAGTTTGCGGGAACGGATTAGGTCAGTAACCTTATGTTGAGTAACCATCAGTAACCCGTCCACATCAGCATCTCTCTCTCTCCTAGAAAGCCTTTAATTTTCCACTCCTTAATCTTTTACGGACGATTTCTCACTCGTTTTAAGTCGAAAATTAATTTTTTTGCACAGTTAGATCAAAATAATTGTGCTCTTCAAAATGATATCCACTTTGATATATTTTTCAAACAAAAAAAATTGAGCCATTTTTTACCGGTCTGTACCATATGGTATTGACTGATATTGAAATAAGAGCATACCTATGGTTTGAAAACGTACCATGGTGGTATGAACAAACCAAGACTATAGGATGGTTGAATACATGATAGCAGAAGTATATTAACTGTCATTTACGACTTTTAACATTGTGTACCACAAGATACCACCCCGTACCAGGGTGGTATTGTGTGGTATTTTTTGGTCTTGTAATTTGTTCACCCAGAAATTTGTAGATCTAATAGATCATGATGAACTCGTTCCTTCTGTGCAAACGTTTTCAAAAACGAATTAAAAACGAAGAAGATACCATATGGTATGCAGTTGGTACCGAGAGGCAAAAAACAAATTTCTCAAAAAATATTGAAAATGTATCTCACTTTGTAGAGCACAACGAACACGTTCCATCTATGCAAAAAAAAATCAAGTAAAAAAAAAGAAGAAGATATGAGCCGATTAAGAAAACTAGAAAAATAAAATGGTCTTTAATTCTCCATCCTTAGATCTGGATCTTCTAAATAAAGAGTCCATATTTAATTATTGATGGGTGCATAACCCATGGTTATGCACCTTATCTTGAGCCTAGGTTTGCCTACAGCTAATACATGTGTTCTGTTGGTAATCTGAATAGGTCCAGTTCTTGCCCAGAGTGCTTGCAGACGCTTCGCTACTACAGGGTAAGGGTATGTCCTTCCCAGGACCTTCACCATTAGAGCAGAACGCCACTCCCTCCTATATTTTCTAACCTCAGCTACAGTGAAAGGGATTGTAGGACACTTTGGATCGTCGTTCATCGGGACTGAATAGTCCTCGTCGTCCTCCCTTATTGCCTCCATTACATCTTCACCATCAGAATCTTCCACGTACCATGCAGTGTCTTGTACTATTTCGCTGAACGTCTTTTTCTTCTCATTGCCCCACACCGATTGGGTTACGGGAATAGGTGTTTCCTTGGTACCCTCATCACTGGTTTTGGCAGGCTCTGCCTGCGTCTTCGGCTCGTCGATCACGATTGGTATCGTGCTTTGTGCTGCGCTACTGGATGCTTTCACCGCATTCAGCTCTTCCTCAGTGCAATCCTCAACAATCACCTCCTCCATGTTGATGGCCTCATCCGATAGATCTAGGGCACGCCTTTTCTTCGGATGTTGAGCTTCCCGTTCTTTCTTGCCGTCCGGTGACGAGGTCTCCTCGGAGGGTCGTCGTGTTCCGGCAGTCAGATCAGGTGGTTTTGCTTCCCCCGCCGGGGCGGAGTCAGCCGGCGAACCCGTCGCCGTCATGGTATTGTCGCGGTGCGCCTATGCAAACCCTAGTCTCCAGTTTCGCGCTCCGGGTTTTGGCTTTTTTTTCCTTAAAAAATGGATAAGGAGATGATGATATATTAATTTCTTTTCATTGGTAATCTTTAATTCGATAGATTGAAGGTTGAGAGATGACCAATGAGAGTGTATGCATTTTGTGTGTTATATTTAATTAATTTTCAAATTTTCCCATTTTTGGTATTGGAATATACCAATCAGAATCTCCTAATGCGAAATACCGAATACCATTCCAAAATGAATCTCAATCATGAAAAATAATTTGGTATTCGGTTAGACCATATAGCAATAAATTGAGTACAATATTGGGTATATCTCATAAATCGATACCAAATTTCCAGTTCTAGGTTTAAGAGAATTTTTTTTTTGAACTAGATTAGTGATGACTCCGTTGCCTGAATAAAAGAAAAAAATTAATAATAATACTTATTTTATACCATTAATATTGAGAAAGTAAAATTTATTTATCTCTACAGTAGTATAATAATAAAATAAAAGAATGTGAAGATTTTATGATTGGTTGGTACACTTTTTGCTATTAATTTTTATGATATATCTTAACTTTTTATTTCAAACGTATGAATACTATCCAGATGATTTATTCATTGAAAATAAGGAATAAAAATCCTCGTAGGTATGATTCAAATGTTTGAATAAAAAGTCACTCAAAAGATCGAATCTATTATGTCGTGATTGAAAATAATACAAAATTCTAATAGTGTTTTACACATATATATAATACATACAATTGTTGTTTAATTTGATACATTATTCTCTTTCATAGATGGATAGCCAAGTAATTATAAATAGTTAATAACTTTTTAGTTTTATCCGATTATGTACATTTTGGGACTCAATTGAAAAAGAATTTATTTTATATTTTCTTATTCATAATAGCAGAAGGTGAAAATTGAGTTCGGGAGTACACAGTGTCACACCCTATTCATCACCATTTTAGGCACTAGCTTATAACCTGTCCCTTGGTCAAATGTTAATATTTTAATATTTATATTTATATTCATATTTTAATATTTATATTTTTATATTATGTTTAAGTTTATTGAAAACTATTCAATCGAAATGGTACATAAAGAATGAATATATAGGTCGGACATTTAGGGAAATACCCTCCTCATTTAAGAATATAAAAATGTATCATTAATTCAATTTTCATAATGATAATTGAGCCCCCATCAAAATGATATTGGTTAATAGATTGTCTAGAAATATATAATATAAAAGCTCATTGGAATTCCCACACGATCCATAGATAGTTTGAAACTGAAATAAAACCAAGACAATCCCACATAAATGGTTCAAAGCTCTCCTCTATGAATAACATGCCACTAATAAAAAAGAAATGGATTTATAAAAAAAACAGAAATGAAGAGTTATTGATTCAAGTAAATTATATGCTAACAACTCAACTAAAAGGAGACCATTAAAACTTGAGAGCAAATGACAAAATTAGAGTTACATCCAATATATTAATAGACTCGATCAAAGTAATGAGGCACAAAATTAGACACTCCTTATCTATAAGTTCCAGTAGTTTGAATAGTGAATCGACCTTAACTTAGTAAATCAATCAATGATTCCTCATTTTAACATAAACATAGGTTGTGGTAGTTGCAACAACCATAACACCTAAAGATCCAATAGTTTCCACTCTCCCCTGTACAACTAACTTTTTATCCCCTCCATCTTCAATCTCTCGACGTATATATTTTGAACCAAAATTCAATTTCTAATCCTCCTTCTGCAACTCCATTTATGCTACTTTTATGGACCTTCTCTCCATGAACCTGAATTTCTCTTTCAATTGAGTTTCTTGTCAGCTTGATCTCCAACTCCTCAATCCTCTTTCTTGTATTTGGCCAACTCATCTTCCTCGGGGCAGTTTTAATAAGCTCGTAAAACCAACACTCATCGTCAATTCCATCAATATGCTCTTATCCTCCTTCTCTGACTTCACCTGATCCAGTTCACTTCCATGCCCTTCAATATCCTCTCCATTTTCATTAATATCTTGATCATCTACCACTTCTCTCTCTTCAACTGCTCTGATTTTGCTTCTATGTCTTTCGATACCCTCCTTGGTTCAATAACTACCCTGACCAACTGCCTCTTCACCGCCTTCACTTGCTGCAAACTACTTTCATGAGTTTTTATACACCTTCCTCAAAATCACAATCAACTACCAATATCAATCCATGGCCTTGGATCAGTTTTAAACTCTGTATGAACATCTCAATACAACAATGTCTAAATCTAAATATTCTTTCAGTTAATCATGAAGTTGAGTTTATCAAAATCTAATCCACTCCTTCTAAGTTGGAATTCCCATCCCGCAAGCTCATTTTTGGTTCATTTGATCCCACATAACCATGATATTATACCTCGAACTAAAATAAATCAAAAGCATTTTACGAAAAGAAACCGAACCACGAACTTTACCTGCTACCAAATCCAAACATAATTTCTTCCTCTCACCACTTCCCTTCCCAAACCCAATATCAACTTTTACTCCAAGTTCGCACCCCCAGCTCCCACTGTGTTGCGTGAAAGCTTAATTTTAGGAATCATTATGCTTGCAATTAGATTAATAGATACCAGCAAGCGCCAAAATCCCACCATACGATAAGTTGTCTTCACTTTGATTTTTGTCATAAAACTGTTGGCCCGATATGATTACCAGTTTGGAGGTCATATGATGAGCAATACCGAATCAGTTGCAGCGAAGTTACCGGTCACAGTAATGACAATGTGAAACATGTGTTAACAAACGCGAATATGGGTTACTTATATGGATTGACACTAGAATGATTGGATCGGACAATGAGATCGTCCTTAGTTAAGCGACATGTAAATTGGTTCATTTGGTATGGAGAACACAAACCGTTAAAATTCTAAATTATTTGGGTGAGTTTGTATTTAGTGTTTTCAAAATCGTGGTATATGAGTTAGGTGATTAAAATATCTAAACTCAAACAAACCGACCCACGTACACCCCTAGGAAGAGTTTCATAACTTAGTATTTAACTGGACAAAAATGTTCGGAGAACCAGTCCCCTATAGTTTGCACAAAGATATGATTGCTTCACTACAGTTCTGGAAATTAATGGTAATTTAAGAATTCTATATAGCTTCTAAATATTCAATACTATAATTCCATTTGAAATATTCGAACCAACAATATTTTGGTTGCAAATTTATGGTTATCGTCTATTTATAAGATAGATAAAATTTTAAATTAAGTATTAAACTATAATTAAAATAAATAATATCAAAATCGAAGTATCAAAATACCAAATAAGTACTTACGGAATATTTATTGGGCTAGCTAACTGTTGAAAAGTTCTCTGATTTCTAGACCTGGCAAATTACAACCCGACCCCAAACCGCCCGAAAACTAAAAAATTTTATAACCCAAAATCCGAATGACCTGAACCGATAACCCGTGATTTTTTTGGATCGGGTAGAGTGGGTTAGCGGGTCAACCCGTTAGACCCGCTCCATTTAATATATTACTCCTAAAATATGATAAAATCACTCATAAATTGGTGAGATGTTTAACAAAAATCACAAGAATTTGAATGACATGTTTAGAGTTTAAGGATAATCAAATATCATATGTTTCTTGTAGTACTATTAATCTTGTGATTGTTTTTTAACGATTTTGTGCAATTTATATTTCATTTCATTAGCGTGGGAGGATTTGAGAATTTGTTAATTGACATGTGTTAGGTAAACTATTTCCATGCATATGTGAAAATTTGTGTTCTTTAAGAAAATATGAAGCATGTTTGATATTGTTTCTGAGAACGCTCATAAGTCGAAATGACCTGTAACCCAACCCGAAACCGAATGGGTTGGGTCAATATTTGACCGAAATAAGCCAACCAAACATGACCCGACCGGTAACCGAAGTTCTGAACCCGAAATTACCCAACCCGACCCGATTGCCAGGTCTAGTGATTTCATATTTTAGCTTCATAAATATTTTTAATTTAAAAAAAATACAACAAATCTACATAGTCTGATTGATTTTAAACCTTCACTTTGTTTGAAATGACCATGGTTCAAATCTCAATATGTCTATCTTTTTCTGTAAATAAATAAAAAATACAGATAAGTGTGAAGACAAAAATGTCCATCCTAATTTCCCTCTCATTGCGGGAAATTTGAAAAGGGAGATTAAGTTTCAAATAATTAAATCATATACCCTAAATCTATAGAACTTAAGCTCTAATATCACATATTCTAAGAACATAATCAATGATTCTGATTCGCCAAGATGTATACAACATACCATATGCACTATATTAAGATTTAGAGAATTATGATATAGAGTTTAGTTACGTGATTAATCTATGGTCTAGATAATGTTATTTAACTTAGGAGATGCAATAACCCTCAATCCATCGAGCGTACCATAGAATTTCCAATGTATATAGCTTTGAAAGCAGCAAGGAGTGGTCTTCTAGGAAGTCGAGCAACTTCGTCCATTGTTTGTTAAATTTAGCCAATGATAATTGGCTCATCTGTCAATGGTATTTAGTCTTTCAATTCTATGCTTATAATTGTCAACCATTAGGAAAATTGTTAGCCAATGATTTTGGGTCATTCACTTATAGCATTGAAAATGTCTCGTTACAAAATCATAGATCACAAATGTCAAATTTTATGTTTTGAAATAAAATTTTGTATAGCACTTTTGTAAACAATCCTTGTATTCCTACAAACTACAAAGTCATGTAACCTAATAAATGAAAAGTTGTAAGACATACATAAACTCAAAATGTACTATTTGATTCTTGGTGAAGAATTGTGTGATTAGAGGAACTCACTTAGTCGATTCATAAAGCTAGGTATATCATGATGATTCACTTTGTAAATAATTACAGTTATTAATTAATTCGATGATTGATTGTCGCGGTGGATAGTCCTATTATTTTGAGGTATTTTAGTATTTTCTCTCTTTAATTCAAAAAATACATAAACATTGTTGTAGTCCAGTTGGTTAGGGATATTGATTATCAATCTAAAGGACTCGAGTTTCAACTCTTTGTAATGACATTTTTTTCTCGTAAGAAGATATTTAAGTTCTAAGTTGAACTTACAAATTTACCCATAGCTACAATTAAGGAGAGTGCAAGAAATTTGAAATACTCAAAATCTCCTGAAGTACTGCCATATATTATAGAGGGATTCTTTGATGGTTCGGTTACAATTTTCAAGTCTTGTAGTGGAAGTTTTTCACAAGTTTTTTTTGTTGAGATTTTCACAAGTTCTTAATTGCGACACTTACACCTCATCAATAGTATTACCCTCTGCAAATATTTGAGCCAAAACAATTCACCTTCATTATGAATTAATGATCATATGCCACGTGAGATTGACAACCCACTTTGTAATTATTGGATTCATTCTCTCTTTTGTTTCTTTTTTTTTTCAAATCGATGGTTTAGATTAAATGATGGTTATTTTTGGAAGTGAAATAACTTACCACACTCAATCCGCAGATGGCACTGCCTCCACTCCTGCCTTCGCTTGCCGCACCCTCGACCGCCGCCAAAGCCGTCTCACGACACTCCTCTGCCTCCCTCCACCTCCTGCCGCACCCTCCACCGCCTCCCTCCACTCCTGTCGCTGTCAGCTCTCTCCCACCGCCCTCCTCTGTCTCCGCCCCTTCCTCCGCCTCCCACCACCTTTTTTTGTGTTAGTCTCTAGTGGTAGTGATTTCCATCTGGTACCATACCCAGAGGTAGTGGTATCACTAACACCACCACCAGTTGTAGTGTACCACTATCACTAGTAGCGCTACTACTACTCACTGGTAGTGGTAGCATACCACTACCGCACTAATAGAGTGATAATTTTTTGCAGGTGGCCGGAGCGAGTCTGATTCAAGGATTTTGGCGGAGAAAGTCTGTCGGTCGGAAAGTCAACCGGTGAGAATGGAGTGACTAATGGAAAAGGAAGAAAGAGAAATGTATTGAATGTAGGATTATTTTTTTTTTAAACATGTATTTAATGTGGTTTTCTAATTCCCAATGTGTAATTAATATAATTTTTTTTGTCATACCCAAAATACCTTTGGTTGTGAATCACACAACCCATTAAGGAAAGTGAGAGTATCTGCCCAATTGGTGACACATAAATATGTGCCTCTATAAGGTTTTAGAGGCCATTAAACACTATATAGTGATAAATAGTCAATGTGGCTAAAACTCATTTTTCTTGTAGTGCATCTTTATATACTGATACTAATGAAGCGACTGATTATGGCTTGGTAATGCTAATCCTATCTCTTCTCCGGTATAATTGGTAACTTTTGTTTGATTGTAGATATGATTACTAAGACTACTACTCTTTTGTTGTTTCGTTTTAATATATTTGTGTTTGTAGCACATTTTCCCACTCTTTTCTGCTTTAAACTATCGGTTCAACTTTCATGTTTAGTTCATTGCAGGTTTTCTTTGCCAACTTATTCTCGCAAACATGAATAAAGAGCTAAAGGGACTAAGGTATGCTTCCAACTGGCAGTGCTTCTTAAACTTAAATATGAAATCCGAAGGGAAAATATGGGCGTCCTTTCAATAGTGATATGTTTAGGTGGAACTCAGATACCTCACTTAGTGTTGTTGATGCATGCTAGATTTTGGAATAGTTTATACAGATTGTTGGGTGATCATCTCACATTAAAGAGATTGCAAAGTTTCGTCTTTTGTAACATTGTAATGGTGGACGAGTGATTTGGTAAATTCCATAGTTAAGATGTTTCACAATCTCTGCCTATGAACAGAGATATCATGGTCACTGAATTAAGGATATTTTGGCCATGAGAGATTGGGAACGAACCATTTTTTACCTTTTTTTTTTGTTTTTGTTTTCATCCGAACTGTGAATTTGAAAGAGAGCTGTGGCACGATGAGTTGTCGTTAGTCAGAGGCTTCCCTTTTTTTTACAATGTAATGAACAATGATCTATGGGTGCAGGTGTGTTGTAAGTGGTTCTGGGAAGATCGCCATGCATGCAGTGGCGGAGCCACTTGTAGAGGAAGGGGGTGCAAGCACCCCTGCGTTTGGAGAATTTTTTTCCGAGTAGGGGTATATACAAATTCGAACCAATGACCATTCAGTTGCAGGAAGAATTTCTTATCATTTCGATCGAGTGAGTTTTGTTATGCAATGCACTTTCGTCTTTATTTATAGTAATAAATTGTTGTCCTTTGTTTAAACTCGCTCATTTTTTTTTTGTTGCTCTACAACAGAGAAATTTCTTGTCTTTTGTTTAAACAAAGTTGAAAGTGAAGAAGTACCAATTGAAGTTCACTTGTTTGTTTCAAAAAATCAATTCCAAGGTACTTCTGAGTTCTAATTTGTAATATTTGATGAATGGAAGTCTTGATTTGTATGTACTGAACTTATTTGTTTGACGTTGTAACCGGTGTACGTGAAACTATTTTAATGTAATTGTATGAATTTAGAGTATTGCGTTGTTGACTTTTTGTTTAATTTAAAGTTGACTTTTTGTTTAATTTAAAGTTGACTTTTCTATTGTATAGGTGATTTTTTATGATATGATAAAGACACCCCCTTGGCCAATTTTCTGGCTCCGCCACTGCATGCATGTTCTAGAAAAGATTATTGCTTATGGCGCTCATCCAATTATTATAGGTATTTCATATCTGGCAACTGTTTTGTAAAACGGAATTGAATGAGGTCAATATAATTTTTTTTTATTTTTTTTATTCTAAGATATGACAATAGAAAGCAAGACGATGCAAGTTTTCTGCTAGGGTTTCTCGACGGCCTCATGCCGGCGGTGCCTGCGCCGCTGGGGGGGGGGGGGAGGGGGGGGCTCCTCCCCTCCCGAGACTGTCTCGGGACAACACCGACCTCCCCTGGAGTCTTCCTCCCCCAATCCAAAAAGTGATCGAGAGGCGCAACACACAAAGAAAAGAGCGAAGCAAACGATGCAACCCCCGGTACCCACGATGGTGGAAGATGAGATTTTAGAAGATGTCCCGAATGATGAACAACCGAGACCGGAGTCGAATTCACTGAAGCAATCGGCTTGGGGCTAGGGCACTGGAGCAGCAAGACGCCTATTCAGTGAATCAGTGAAGACAGACATATGGTACACAGATAACTCCGATTCCGAAGATATTGCCGCAGCTATGCGAACGGAGGGGCTGGACGAAGGTTTCGACTGTGAGATTGATCCTAAATGCCCGGAGGTCTATTTCTCGCCGACTGAAGATAGAAAGTTCTGTAGGCAATGGCGATCGGCCCTAGTGGTGAAGGTGCTTGGGCGCTCAGTCTCCTACACGCTTATTGCGAACAGACTTAATATTATATGGGCCAAAGCCGGATCAATACAAGTAACATCGGCTAAGAACGGATACTTCCTTGTGAGGTTTACCGATGGCATGGACTATGAGAGGGCAGTTATGGGAGGTCCATGGATGGTGGGTGACAACTACCTCACGGTGCACCCTTGGAGTGAGCATTTTAACCCCTATAGGCATGAAATCTCCTCTACTCTGGTATGGGCGCGCCTGCTCGAGATACCTATTCATTATTTCCACCCAGACGCAGTATTGAAGATTGGTAAGTTCATAGGGAAACCATTACGTGTTGACCATGCTACTAGCACTGGAGCACGGAGTGATTATGCCCGGGTTTGCATCCAAGTGGATCTTACGAAACCACTTCTGTCACAATTCACTATCAAGGGTATCAAATACTTCGTCCAATATTAAGGCCTGGAAAATATTTGTTTACAGTGTGGGACGTAATTTACTCGGTCTCGATGCTGTTGCACGCAGTCTGAAGACACGGAAAGACCCGATACTCCTAATGCCCCAAAGGAACAACCCCCAAGGATCCCGGCTGTGTGTATGGTGAATGGATGATCGCCAAGAAGAAGCCTCGAGCCCGGCGAGAAACGAACCCCAGCGGCGATCGACAAGGGCCTAGTGGAAGCAACCGAGTTACTGGGCCGAAGAACTCTAACATGGGGTCTCGTTTCACCGTTTTGGACGTGGAGGAAGATGGCGATTCCCATGCAGCTACGTCAGGGGCTGCTGGGTCAAGGGATAGGCGGTTAGACTCCCAAGGTAGAGATACTAAAAGGGAGGTAGGGAATAGAGGGCCACATAAGAATGCAGATAATTCAAAGGCAGTTAAGCAAGGGACCAAGCACGTGAGAGAAGTGGAGGGGCAGAAGACAACGGGATCACCTCACCCTGTGGAGCAAAGTTTGGAGCCCAATCTTGCGTTGAATAATAAAGGAGTCATATGGCCGAATAAGGAAGCACAGACGAAAGACATGGCTCCGGAAGGGAACTTTGAAATGGCCCACACAAGAGATGATTTGGATCGGGAGCAACATGCTAAACCACCAGATATCAGTGCTAGGCTGCCACCAAATACAGCCAGAGACGTTGAAGCAAGCATAAGCAGGAACTATGGGATTGTCAACGAGAAAATCAGTGAAAGTCACCCAGGGCTCCTCCCCTCGGAGGACTCCTTGGTGAATGCGTGAGCTGGCTTTGGCCGTGATCCCGATTCCATCTCCTTATGATGTTAAACATATTTTCTTGGAATTGCAGGGGGGGGGGGCAGGGGGCAATCGCTTCCTGCGAGTGTTGAGAGAGTAAATGAGAAAATTCAGACTAGGCATTTCTATCATAGTCGAACCAAAAATCAGTGGGGAGACTGCTGAAAGATTTGTCAAGTCGATGGGGTTTGATAAGTGGTTGATTGTAGATGCAGTTGGCTTTGCCCGTGGTATTTGGCTTCTCTGGGATTCTTCTTTAGTCTCAATTACAGAAATTGACAGATCATCGCAATTCTTACATGTCCGCGCTCAAACAGGGAGAGATACTTGGTTTCTAACGGCTATCTATGCAGTCCCAGCTCTGATCCAACGAAGAGAGTTATGGAAGTCGATAAGGTTGATCGCCGAAGAGATGGAGGACCCCTGGCTCCTCGCGGGGGATTTTAACTCTATCCTACTACCTTCCGACAAGATGGGGGGAGCCCCTTTTGACGCTAGTCGGGCTCGAGAGTTCCAGGACTGTGTTCTTGATGCGGGCTTGGAAGACATGGGGTTCACAGGCCCTCCTTTCACGTGGTTCAGGGCAGGAATCAAAGAAAGACTGGATCGAGGACTCACCAATGCAGATTGTCATCGATCTTTCCGGAAGCTTATGTCAGGCACCTGCCAAAGATAAAGATTGACCATCGTCCGATTCTGATTTCGCTCAACCCAGCTCACCATCCAGCAGGTCCTAAACCTTTTAAGTTTCTGGCCGCCTGGTTAACCCATGAGAATTTCAGAGAGATGGCCGAATCATCTTGGGGGAGAGGTTCGGACCTCCTGAGCTTCATTACAGAATTCGCTAGAGAGGCAATTAGAAGGAACAGACAAGTTTTCGGTCATATTCTGAGGAAGAAGAACGCTTTGCTAATCCGGATTGAGAATCTAGAGCTGAGAGTTGGGGTGATGCGGCGGATGCGGAGTTGAAGCAGGCAAGGAATGACCTTGAAGAGATTTTATTGCAGGAGGAGATTCTATGGTGTCAAAAGTCACGTTTAGAATGGATTGCCTCAGGGGATAGGTATACAAAGTATTTTCACTCTCGAACCATGAACCGACGGAAAAGAAATAGAGTTTCCTTACTGAAAAATGATGACGGCGAGTGGGTAGATGACCCAACGCTCCTCCTGGAATTGGCTCGTGTCTACTTCTCGGCCCTTTATACAGATAATGGCATCCCTACAGGAGCAATCCCGCAAGGCTTTGACGAAATCCCAGGGCTGTTGTGGGATCCCGCTGCCGCCCAGTTCAACCCCGAGGAGATTCAGATCGCAGCTCGCCAGATGGGTCCGCTTAAGGCACCGCGAAAGGATCGTTGAATCCTCTATTCTATCAGCGATGTTGGGACTTTGTCGGTCAATCTGTCACGGAGTTTGCGACGGAGTGTTGGACAAATCCAGATAAGATCAAACCTGTCAACGAGACCATCATTGTACTTATACCGAAGGTCCAACGCCCCATCACAATTGACCAGTTCTGCCCGATCAGCCTGTGCAATGTGGCCTATAAGTTGATTACCAAGTGTTTGGCAGAGCGAAACAAGCCAATCATGCCGAGCCTCGTGCACGAGACTCAGACGAGTTTCGTTCCTGGCCGCCATATTACTGACAACATTTGTGTTTTGCAGGAAGTGGTTCACTCTATGCGAGCAAAGCGTGGCCGTGTGGGGTGGATGGTGCTAAAAATTGACTTGGCAAAGGCGCACGATCTCATAAAATGGGCGTTCTTCCGGGATACGCTGCATGCTGCAGGGGCTTCGCAGAAATTCATAGACCTCACGATGAGCTGTATTTCCTCCTCGACCATGCAGATCCAGTGGAATGGCGGATTAACGGAGTCCTTTGTCCCCTCCAGAGGTCTACGTCAGGGCTGCCCTTTATCCCCGTATATTTTCACTCTCTGTATGGAGAGACTTGGTCATATTATTTCCGTTGCTGTTGGCCAGGGAGATTGGAAACCAATTAAGCTGACAGGGCAAGGCCCTACGCTTTCGCACCTGTTCTTCGCGGATGACCTAATCCTTTTTAGCGAGGCTTCTTCGACTCAGGTTACAGTGATTAATCGTTGCCTTGAGGAGTTTGGGTTGGCCTCTGGACAACAAGTTAATCGTCAGAAGTCGAGGGTGTTTTTCTTGCAGAACGTGCAAGCTACTGCAACCACGACTTTGAGTGCGACCCTCAATATCCTGGAGACAAAAAACCTGGGTCGGTACTTGGGAGTACCGGTGATCCATGACAGAGTTTCAAAGGCTACTTATACAGAGCTCATAGATCGCATTGATAAGAGATTAGCGGGCTGGAAAGTAAACTCCCTCTCGATGGCGGCGAGGATTACCCTTACGTAGTCAGTCTTAGCCTCATTACCAGCCTATACAATGCAGACAACCTTCCTGCCCGCTTCGGTGAGAGACTATATTGATAAGAAAATTCGTGGTTTTATCCGGGGAAGCTCAGAACAAGGCAGGAAAATCCACCTAGTGGACTGGGATTCGATGTGCAAGACCAAGGAGGAAGGGGGTGTAGGTCTACGGAATGCCACACAGATGAACGAGGCTTTCATGATGAAAATCGCGTGGCGCTTGATGAAGGAGCCAGAGAGCCTTTGGGCTCGTGTAATCCGCTCCAAGTATTTGAAGGAGACACCAGAGGGATGGCAGCCGAGAACAGGTGGGAGAATCTCTAACTTGTAGAAAGGAATCCTACGTATACTTCACCTCATCCCTCAAGGAACCATGTGGAATATACGGAATGGCTTGACTACTTTGTTCTGGGACGATGTGTGGCTGTTTGATGGCCCTCTTTTGGCTGAATTTGCTAGCAATTTACCGGCGGAGGCGAGGACGTTGAAGGTGGCAGAACTTGTACTGAACGGGCAATGGAACTTGGACTTTGTGCGGGCATTCTTGCAGGAGGAGTTTTTCACGCAACTCCAGCTCCACCCAACGCTGCACGAGGAAGCCCATGATATGCCATGCTGGCGCCTATCCCCGTCTGGTGAATTCTCAATCAGTACAGCCTATGCGCTTACTCGGGACGGGGATGAGATAAGTGCTAATAGCCCCATTTGGAAACAGGTGTGGAGGATCCCGGGACCCCAGCGAATTCGGCCGTTCTTCTGGCTCGCTGTTCAGGAGAAGCTACTTACAAATGCTGAGCGGAAAAGGTGACACCTGTCGCAAGTTGATCTGTGCAAGATATGTGGAGGAGGGCCGGAAAATACACTTCATGTTCTACGGGACTGCCGGTATGCTCGGGACGCATGGTCACAGGTTCTGGGAGGGGAGCCGAACAGGTTCTTTATTGAAGAAGACTTAAAGAAACGGGTGTCGCATTATCTTGCGGGTCGCAACGAGATCATTAATCCGTCTCTGTTTGCAACTTTCTGCTGGAAGTTGTGGAAGAATAGAAATTGCTATATCTTTGAGAAGGTGCTACTGTCGGCCAGAGTGATTGCTATTCAGGTGCAGGAGTATTGTCACAACATCGAGCTGGCCTTGTCAAGGTCGGCGTTCATGCAGGAGGGTGGTACACCATCACGGTCGGTTCAGCCTCTGTACTGGCGGAAGCCATCGAGAGGATGGGTATGTTTGAACACGGATGGATCGGTAGTGGGTGGGATGGGGAGCACAGCTGCTGGCGGGGTCTTCCGCAATGATGAGGGCCAGTTCTTGAAGGCCTTTGCTGTCAATTTGGGTAGAGGTTCTGTGACCCACGCGGAACTGGCAGGGATAGTCCAGGGTCTCCGACTGGCTTGGGAAACTGGATACAATAGAATTGAGGTGCATACTGATTCATCTACGGCGGTCAAGCTCATTCAGACGGCAGCGGACCATAATCCTCATAGAGGCCTGATCGCGGCGGCAAGGCAGTTGCTTAGCCTGGATTGGCAAGTCCGAATCACCCATGTTTTTCGAGAAGAAAACTTCGTAGCAGACTATTTAGCGTCAGAGGGGCATTCTCTATCTTTGGGGGTTCATGTCTTTGAAAACCCGAGTCCCATGTTACGTTATTGGCTGTATTTTGACAATGCTGGGATTGAAACCCCGAGGTTGATTAATAGTTAAGGGTTGGAGCGCCCCCTGCGCTCCGTTCATTACCAAAAAATAGAAAGCAAGAAATAATTAGACTATCCTATAAGTCCCTTCTCACCCAAGCAACAAAATCAAAAAGCAACTCTAAACTAGACAGATAAATGACTTTTCTTGCTTCACTATGGCAACCCGATTAGTAGTTTTAGGAACCACACAATATACTTATCACGATTATCAACTTGAATTGATTGCTTGAAGCATCTTCTTGCAGTAAGAGATATCAAAAGGATAATTGGTCGATGAGGATGAATTTGATTGCATGAAGATATATTTTCTAAGAGATATCAAATTGCAACAAAGAAGTTTGAGGTGTGATTCTCTCTTTGTCATCTGTTACCAAGTTTGTGTCTGAATCTACTCTAGTGGTGCCGTTCACGATTTCCTGTACATGAATTTCTCTAAACTGTAGAGATTACTTGAAAACCTATGCACGGTTAAAGTACTACGACTAAAGATGTGATGTTTTATTCCCTTGTGCTTTCCAGAATGAAATTTGTTGAAATCAAAAAAGCAGAATGGAACAATCACACAAGACGAGGATTTTACGTGGTATCCCTGTTTGATGTGAACATGATTAATCCACGGAGAGCTCGAAGGAGCTCTCGACTATGACTTGATTTTTATTGATGACTGATAATGATCCCAGCAAGCTTAGCTTGCTATTTATACATGGAGAGACTTGCCTTGTCGGCTACGTAAAGTAAAAAGAGACGATAGGAGATACAACTCCTATAAGGACATGGACGTGGACAATTACCATCCAGCCCTATGACTACGTGACATTCTACACTCCCCCTCAAGCAAGAGCATGGATGTCGATCATGCCGAGCTTGGACAAGAGATAGGTGAATTGGTCGATGCTGAGGCCTTTGGTGAAGAGATCAGCTGGCTGCTCGGCGGAGGCTACCTTGAGAGGCTTTATGTCACGTGAAATGACTCATTCGCGGACAAAATAGCAGTTCATCTTCACATGCTTAGTACGTTCATGAAAAACTGGATTAGCGACAATGTGGAGTGCAGCTTGATTGTCGCAGTATAGGCGAGTAGGTCGTGATTGAGGAACTCCAAGATCTGACAGTAGCCAACAAAGCCAGAGTAACTCACTAACAGTGCTGGCCATAGCTCTGTACTCAGCTTCTGCAGAGGATTGATCAACGACGGACTGTTTCATAGTACGCCAAGAAATCGGAGAACCACCTAACTGAATAAAATACCCGGTGGTGGATCGTCGCGTTAGGGGGCACCCTACCCAGTGGGCATCGCAATGGGAGACAAGCTCCAGGGAACTATCTGCGCAAAAAAAAAGACCACGACCTGGTGACTGCTTTAGGTAACGAAAGACGCGATGAGCTGCATCAAGGTGCGCCTGTGTAGGCGCATGTAATGCTTGGTTGAGGAGATTGACTGGATAGGTGATGTCTGGGCATGTTACCGTGAGACACAGTAGACGTCCCACGAGACGTCAGAAGGCTGAGGGATCAGCGACAAGAGAAGAGAGGTCCTTCCCGAGCTTATGATTTTGATCGATTGGGGAGGAATACGGCCGAGTGCCTTCACACCCAGTATCACCAAGTATATCTAAGACATACTTGCGTTGATTAAGAGCTATACCTTTTGGTGACCTTGCTACTTCGATGCCCAGAAAATATTTCAGAGGTCCTAGGTCCTTGATTGTGAAACGTTTATGCAAGAATTCTTTGACTTTTTGTATGAAGCTGAGATAATTTCCTGCTAAAATTACATCGTCCACATATATCAAGGTTGTGACAAAAGATGAACCAGATTGATAGATAAAAAGTGAGTGATTTGCACGAATTTGACGAAACTGCAGCTCAAGCAATGCCGTAGAGAACTTCTCATACCAGTTGCAAGAAGCTTGTTTAAGTCCGTATGTAGACTTGTGCAGACGACAAACCCGAGAGTCTCCCTTTTGTGCAAACCCCCGTGGAACTTTCATGTAGACTTCCTCATGTAGGTCTCCATGCAGAAAAGCATTATTGACGTCAAGTTGGTGAATGGTCCAACCTTGACTCACAGCAATAGCAAGTAGACACGAACTGTGACCAATTTTGCTAAAGGAGCAAACGTGTCATGGTAGTCAATTCCCTCGATCTACGTATATCCTTTTGCTACTAGTCGGGCATTAAAACGTTCAATTGATCCATCTGGAAGATACATTATTTTATATACCCATTTTGAATCAATCGCACGTTTGACTGACGGTAATGGGACAAGACTCCACGTTCCATTTGCTTCCAATGCCGTGATTTCCTTTTGCATGGCGTCCCTCCATTCCTTGAACAAAATCGCCAGGGAGAAGTGCCGAGGCTCAAGGTGGACATCTATGTGCGCAAGGTATGCCTTGTAACTATGAGATAATAGAGAGTAACACACATATTTCTCAATTGGATATTTGACTCAGCTGGCCGATGGGTGCGAGATTGATGCAAGCAAACTTACGTCATATTTAGACAAGTGACGAGGCTGCTGTGGCTTCCTATTACTTTTGCGACGAGGCTCATTCAAAGGAGAAGTGCCGGCAGCTGGGGGAGTAGCCACCTCACCTGATGAAGGGACTTCTTGAGTCACCATCAGGTTCCTCAGAATGGACCTTGTTAAGGACATCATGATCAAGGCATGTTTCCTGTGTGAGCCATGCATGGCCATGCAGCGGGGAGTAGGGATGGCAATGGGTCGGGTCGGGGGCGGATAGTGCATATCCGTTACCCTACCCAAAGTAGTTCGGGTTTTACCCGTACCCATACCCACATGTGAAACGGGTAGAAAATCAAAACCATGCCCATACCCATTCGGGTTTTGGGTATCCACGGTTATCCATGGGTAATCATTTCTCTTCATAACTTCAACCAATATGTTAACATTCACACGAATTCTCACATTACGTAAGAGGAAAAGTACGACAATAATTCACTAGAATGAAGAAAATTAATTAAAACAACACAATTTCATGAAAATAATATACTTATATGCTAAATATAAAATATGTTAGAGAAAAATAATGATTATATCTAGAGAAAATACATATGCATTTGTATAATCAGGTGGGTTCGGGTTGGATAGTGAGAAATCCATGCCCACCCATTACCCACAATATTCAGGTTCGGGTTTTACCCGTACCCACTAAATGTCTTTCGGGTTCGGGTTTTACCCTACCCGATTAGGTCGGATTCGGGTGGATATCCACGGTTACGGATATTTTTGCCATCCCTAGCGGGGAGTCTCCCCCTTTCCCAGCTGGTGATGAGATCGCACGAAGGGAAACACGTCTTCTAGAAAGATTACGTCCCGGGATGTGTAGATAACCTTGTCAACTAGATCATAAATACGATAGCCTCTTTGAGTAGCCGGATATCCAACAAAGACGCCTGCGCGTCCTCGTTCATCGAATTTTCGCAGCCCCTGATGGTTGTCCTTAGCATATACCAAACAACCAAAGCTTTTGGGGTCCGAGTAAGAAGGAGCCGAGTTCAGCAGGAGTTCATATGGGGTCTGATTTTTGACCGAACTAAGAGGCATGCGGTTGATTAGATAGGCAACCGTTAGAACACATTCACCCCAAAACCGTGTAGGTAACCCTGCATAAAACATGATTGCTCGAGCCGTATCAAGAAGATGACGATGTTTTCATTCAACCACTCCATTTTGCTGAGGAGTGTCCGTGCAAGATGTTTGGAGAATTATTCCATGTTCCTCATAATAATATCGCAACTGTGACGAATCGAATTCTGGCCCATTATCTGCCTGTATCCTGCGCACTTTCATGTCATACTGTGTGATGACTTGATTACAAAAGAGAAGAAGATATCGAGCTGCCTCCGATTTGTGTTTCAAGAGATAGATCCAAACACAACGACTGTAATCATCCACGATAGTGAGAAAATAGTGTGCACCCGTGAGAGAAACTTCACTGTAACTGCCCCAAATGTCGACATGAATTAACTCAAAACAAGTAGAAGTTTTGATAGTACTGGACTCAAAAGGAAGTCGAGTTTTCTTCGCCCGTAGGCATGACCCACAATGATCATTACTGCGAACAATTGGACTATGAAGTAAAGGAGTTAAGATAGACAATTTCTCAAAAGACAGATGATCCAGCCATGAATGCCATCTCCTCGTATCCTGGCATGCTTGACTCGCAGAAAGAGCTACTGGATGATCTCCTCGTGGCAATCGCAAGTGATAAAGCTCATCAACACGAATCCTCGTTCCAATCAGCCTCTTGGAGTGTAAGTCCTGAATTACACAAAAGTCATTGATGAAAACCAGTGCCACCGGTAGATCGGCTGTTAGACGGTTGACAGATAGAAGATTGTACTTGAAGTCAGGCACGTGGAACACATGATTAAGAATAAGACCGTTATCCAACTTTGCTTTTCTTATACCCTTAACTGGAACACCCTTTCCATTGGGTATCTTAACCTGTAGACCATTGCTCGTCTCGAGCTCATTCAAAAACACAGAAATATCTTTAGATATGTGTTCATTGCACCCAGAGTCAATAACCCACGAATTTTGATCAAGGTCAAGAGAAGAAGGATCTGTACCTGCCATATTGACAGTGGGAGTAGCTGGAAGTTTTGTCTTGGCAGTCAAGAAAGCCTTCAGTTGAGCGAGTTGGGCGGCTAAAAGACCTGGGACGCTGCTCTCACTTGAGTCGACTTGAGAAGCTCGTGGAGATCCTAACCGATTTCCACGTCCGCGCCCACGTCTGCCATGTCCACCACGTCTAGCGGATTGATTACGTCCCCCATCAGATTCTGTTGGCCAACCAATTATTTCATAGCAAGTATCTTTGAAGTGTCATGCCTTCTCGCAATGATTGCACCATGGTCTACCAAGCTGAGTACGAGGAGCCGCCGAAGAGGACTCCCCCTGGAGCTTGGATGTGGGGTTTCCTTGAGCTTGTAAAGCTACTGCTTCAACCTTCGGTTGACGACTGCTCGTGATGAAGC